GATTATTATATTTTAGGTTTCTGCAATTCTTTTCACAATTTTTTTTAAAAATCCTCACCTAGGGACATGTTTTCATAGATTTTTTAGAGAGAAAGGGAGGGAGAAGGAGAGAGAAACAACAATGTGAGAGAGAAACATTGATTGGTTGCCTCCCATACATGTCCTGACTGGGGAATGAACCCACAACATTTGGTGTAATGGAACAATGCTTCAACCAACTGAGCCACTGGTCAGGGCTTCTGCAGTATTTTAGTAGCTTAAAAACTCTCTTTTGAACAAGGTTTTCAGACTCCTGGATAACTTTCTTTGGGAGTACAAATATTACAAAATGTGCTGTTTCCAAGATGAAGGTAGGATTGGTGAAATTGTAGAGGGATAGTGTTGGTTTTAAGTTACTCTTTGTTTTGAACATCAGTAATATTAGAGCTGTAAAATATTTTTATTCAAACATTTCTGTTTACTATGCAGGCTTACAGTGGAACACCTCTAACAGAAGAAAAGGAGAAAATAGTCTGGGTCAGATTTGAAAATGCAGATTTAAATGGTATGGTTTTAACTTTTTGGGGCTTATGCATTCAATGTTTGCTTCAGGGTGACCTGATTCTTGAGTCAGATTACTTTCTCTTTTAGTAACTTTTTAGTTTTCAAAATAAATTTGTGTTTAATTTAAAATAGCATAGCCATATTTTTACAGATACTTTATTAGAACTAATATGGTATTGTACAAGTCTGAAAGCAGTTGTAACATAGGGCCTAGCCTGAAACTTTAAGTCCAGGAGAGAGGCGGCTGCCCCCTGTCTGTTTCCCAGGCTACCATGTCTGTTATCTGGCTGAATTGTGGAGGCACTGGTGAGAAACTGAACGGGAGGATGGGAGAGAGGGAAGAGTATTATTATTCTCTCTCCTTCTCCCTGTCAGTGGCTGCATTTTCTCTGTGGTTTTTAGGTTCCCTTGGGCGGTTGTACTGGCAGTCCAGTTTTTACCAGGTGACCTCAGCACCCTGCACTCCTCTGTCCTAGGCTAAGGGTAGCAATGATTTCCTGGTATTGCTAATTCAGTAGGCTGCCTCACAGTTCCTTCTCAGCTACCAGTTGTCTGCATTAAATTCCCAGTTACAAATACACTGACTTGTTTTAATTTCCTAGTTGGACCTTGATTGATACCATACTCTTGAATCTTTGTCTCCTCTAGACTTTTAGAATGTAATGCCTTATTTTCCTTTAAAAGCTACTGTCCAGGCCCTGGTCGGTTTGGCTCAGTGGATAATGTTGAACTGTGGACTGAAGGGTCCTGGGTTCAATTCTGGTCAGGGGCACATGCCCGAGTTGTGGGCTCGATCAATGGTTCTCTCTCATCATTGATGTTTCTATCTCTCCCTTTCCCTTTCTCTCTGAAATCAATAAAGAACATGAAATAACAAATAAAAAAGCTGCTGTCCAGGGTGAGAGAGGCTAAGTATTGCCTCTGCTATTGGTTTCTTCTGAATTTTGGATTCTCTATCAGCTGGTTCGTTCAAATAATGACAACCTCTTGGGCCCTCTTTATGGGGAACAAAACATTCATTTATAGGGGTGATTATTTATGATTTATAAACTTTTCCTACTGTATCTCTTTTTGAAAGCTTACTATATTTTACATTTTCTTTTAATGGCTCAAATTTCTTTGTTTATTAGCATAAGTCCTTCCTGTTCCTTCTTTATTTCTAACTATAATGCAGTGTTTGAATTGAACTCTGCTTTGGTGATTGCTTTCTGTTTCTTCCAATAGTCCTGGGAGCTCTGCTCTTTTGCTTAAAATTATAAAGTGCTGCCAGGTAGCCCCTTCCCTGCAGGCTGCATCCCAGTTGATATGGTTTATCATGGTTGGAGGCTGGGGAGCCAGTCCTGCATCCTCCTAGGTATCTCCATTCCTAATCAATGCTTTAATTTTGGCTGTTGTTAGGTAGAGATGACTACTTTTGGAGGTCATTAGAGAGTAGGACAAGGGCCTTTTGTATCATGATCACTGTTCTGTTTCTCATCCAGACAGTCTGATTCATGCCTAAGCTTGTTTTCCTTCAGGTACCATACTGAAAAAGAAGTAGCCGAAGCAGTTTCATATCCTGATATTTTTCTATCAAATTCCCTAAAGGTGTGCATATGGTTTGAGACCCAGAGCACACTAGGTTATCCAGCTGGTTCGCTACAGTATAACCAGAACTGCCAAGTCTCTAATCTGTGAGGGGGAAGCTCTTTGCACCCCATCGCCTTTCTTGACTTGGCCAATTCTAATATGACATCTAGTACTATACTTAGGTACCAGTTTTTATATTTAACAGCCCCTTCTTCAGTTGCAAGTGATTGATTTAAGGGAATAAAAAAATTAATTGTGGTAAAATGCACATAAAAGTGTATTATTTCAACCATTTTTAAGTGTATGGTTTAATAGTCTTTAAGAACAGTATGTTCTCAGTTAACATTGTTGATAGGTTCTCAGAACTATGGTGAAACAAAGTGTAAGGAAACCAGTTTTAACATAGGCTAATTGATATAAACAAGAGTTAATTTCCTACAGTATCTCATCAATATTATAATGAAATGATATTGAATGAAATTTATTATTGGAGGACTTACTGCACATTCACTTTGTTATGCAGCTGATCTCTAGAACTCTTAATCTTGTAAAACTGAAATTTTATACCCATTAAACAACAATTTCACATTTTCTCCTTCCCACTAGCCTCTGGCAACCACAGTTCTATTTATGACTCTGAATTTGACTACTCAAGTTCCTCATAAGTATTTGTCTTTTTGTGACTGGCTCATTTCATGTAGTATAATGTCCTCAGATTCATTAATGTTGTAGCATGTGTAGGTTTTTCCTTTCTTTTTAGGGCTGTGTAATATTCCTTTCTATGTGTCTACTACATTTTGTTCTCTATTTGTCCTTTGATGTTCCATTTGGGTTATGTCCACCTTTAGGCTTTGTGAATCATGCTGCTATGAACATGGGTGTACAGATATTGCTTTGAATGCCTGCCTTCAATTCTTTTTGAGTATATACTCATAAGTGGGATTATTTGCTTATATGGTAATTCTGTTTTTAATTTTTTGAGGAACCACCATACTGTTTTCGTAGGAGATTTCTGTTGAAACCTACTCATATAGCTTGTGTCAATGTAAGAAAGATCCAAACCTGTAGAGAATTTGTATAATAGTTTACTTGAGCCAAACTGACAACATAAGCTGGGGAGCAAGATCTCAAATGCTCCAGAGAGTTCTGCAGCTTCTTTAATGCATTTGAAATTAAGAAAGATTACTTGAAGGTGGGAACAGACAAAGCAAGGAGTGGATCATAGGACAGTTAATAAGATTTGGATCATAGGTCACCCTTTAGAAGGAGGGGATATGTGCTTATCTTCACCCAGAGAAAGAAAAATAGCACAAGTGACTAACCATAATCTAAATTAAGAGAAAGGAGAGTTTGTTCATGTAATGACCTCAGGGTTTTTATATATGGCCTTGGAGTCCTTCTAAACCTAACTACCTGTGATCAAGGAGGTAGCTATAGTAGAAAGATGACTAGATTGTGTATCAAGAGTCCTGAGCCCTAGCTGGTTTGGTTCAGTGGATAGAGCATCGGCCTTCGGACTGAAGGGTCCTGGGTTTGATTCCATTAAAGGTCGTGTACCTCGGTTACAGGCTCAGTCCCCATCCCTGGTTGGGGTACATAGGACAGGCAACCAATCTGTGTGTCTCTCTCACATTGATGTTTCTCTCTTTGTCTCTCCCCCTCCCTTCTACTCTCTAAATATCAATGGAAAAATGTCCTCGGGTGAGGATTAACAGAAAAAATAAAATAAAATAAAAAGCGTTAATAAAAAAAAAAAAGTCCTGAGATTTCCCTAACTTGTCAATGATAAAATGAAATTGGCTCTGGTTCTGCATATAAAACAGGATTATATATGTGTGTCAGATTAGATGATGTATCTATACCAAAGCACACTGAAAATTAGAAATGACCATTAAGTGTTAGATATACAGAGAATTAATTATGCCCTATGAAAATAAGCTTATAATTCTGAATTTTGCTGGAAATAGAATAATGTGCTATTAACTTTATGTCAATTAGTTTCTATTATAAAATCAGCTTTAAGCCTGGCTGGTGTTGCTCAGCGGTTGAACCAGGAGGTCACAGTTTGAATCTGGGTCAGGGCATATGCTCGATCGCCAGTGTGGGGAGTGCAGGAGGCAGCCAATGATTCTCTCTCATCATTGATGTTTCTAACTCTCCCTCCCCCCCCCTTTTTTTTTTTAACAAAACAAAACAAAACAAAACAAAAAACAGCATTAAAACATTATTGACCATAAGCTATGTTTTGATCTTTATATTTGGGCAGCAGGAAGTCCCTAATGTAGAGAATGGAGGTGAGGAGGTATGTCATTATTTGTGTTTTAGAGAGAGAGCACTGTGACTGTTGGGCAGCGGTGGATATGGGAAGTTAGTTATGCTTTTGGAATAGATGGAGCTGGGACAGGGTGGTGGTGTAAGAAGAGAGCTGTTTAGGAAGACAGGGTTAGGGGGAGGTTTATTGCTAGAAGGAAGGAAGAAGGTGGTCCTGATGTTGCTTTTTCACCGAAAGAGGGAACCCTGGAAGATCAGATTTGGGGAGAAAAATAATGATCTTTGAGTGGAATTTGCTCTACTATTGAGATACCCAACAACTCATGCTGCAGAGACACTAACTGAAGCAATGGGATCACGTAGGGGAGGGTACACTGTGAGAAGAAAAGGGAAACATTCAAACCTGTAGAGGATTTTTATGAGTTTGAGTCAAACTGATGACAATGCTGGGAAGCAGTTTTACACATCAGAATCAAAGGGGAATCTATATGGGGTTACAAGAAATTCATTAAAATTCATTAGGGGGGGCTTACAAGTGATTCATGAATTGGGCAGCACCCCTTCTGGCAACCAGAAGGGTGCTCCAAGGGCTTGTACAAAATGGAAGGTTTTTTTTTAGGAAAAAGGGGGCAAGGGAGAAAAAAAAAGAAAGGATTGTTTTTGGGCTGAACATCATTGGGGGATAGAGATACAGGCGGTTGTTTTTTTAAAAAAAGATTTTTATTGTGCTAGAGAGAGAAGAAGGGAGAGGAAGAGAGAGACAGAGAGAGATCAGCTGCCTCCTGCATGCTCCACACTGAGTATCGAGCCTGAAACGGCACAAGCCCTGACCTGGAATTGAACCAGGAACTCTTTTTGGTGTATGGGCTGATGCTCAACCAAATGAGCCACACTGGCCAGGGCCTGAATGGTTTTTGTTATACACATTGAGGACAGAGAGGATCCTCTTTTAACAGATAACCTTACTGGTGCTTGACCATAAAATTCCAGACTGATAAGTTTCTGGGAGAGGTTGAAATTGCAGTTAGGTCAGGTATTAAATTTAGGTTTGGTATCAGGGACTTTCAGCATGAGGGATGCCATTTTGGGCCTATGGTTTTCTCTTTAACAACAACTTGGAGGTGATTGGCGACTAAAGCAAAAGTCACTTTGGAGGAGTGTTAGGGGCAGAAACCATCTTGGAATGTATTTTTGGGTGAATGAGAAATCAAAAATAGATGACGGTTATAAACAACTCAGTCGAGGAATTCAGCTTCTAGGAGAGGAGAGTGATGAAATCAAATACCAGGAGAAGGATATTGTTGCTTTACTTTATGATTTTTACAAACCTTTATATTGTGCAAACATCATGGTAAAGAACACAAAACTAAAGTATAGGTCAGTGAAATTTTTACAGACCCAACACCTCTGTAACCATCATGTAGGGTAAGAAAAAGAATATTACGAATTTCCTGGTTATTTTGAATTTCATATAGATAGAATTATTCAATATAAGGTCTTTTGTGTCTGGTTTATTTTGCTCATTATGTCTGTGAGGTTCATTCATGTTATGGTGTATGGTAGTAAAGTAGTTCATTCTTTTTTCTGTGCTCAAAAGTATTCAATTGTATCAATATAACACTGTGCTTGTTGATTCTGTTGATGGACCTTTGCATTCATTGCAGCTTTTGGCTCTTTTCAAATAGTCTTGCTATGGATATTCTTGTGCATGTCTCTTAGTGTATATGTGTGTGCTCATGCTTCTAATGAGCATGTATACCTACAGTGGAACTGTTTCAAAGGGCGTGGTATCCTCAGCTTGAATAAGTTGTCAAACTGTTTTCCAAAGTGGTTGTACTAATTAAATTCACCAGCATTGAATAAGCAATCCATTTGCTCCACATCCTCTCAACACTTGGTTTTGTCATTGTGGTTTTAATTAGCATTTCACTGATTACAGCAAATGAGGTCCATCCACTTTTCGTCTTTTATTGATCTTTTGAATATCCTCTCTTTGAAGTGCTGTTTCATGTCTCTTGCCTATTTTTCTAATGACTTACCTTTCATATAGATTTTTAATTGTTACATGTACTGGATGAGTCCTTGTGGGACTCAAGACTCTTCTCCCATCCTGTGGCTCCTGGTTAACAGAAGTTCTTCATTTTAATGTAAAAAATAATGCAGTCGAATTTGCCAATCTTTTGTGCTAATGTTACTGAAAAGGGGACCAGGCCCTGAACTGGTGTAGGGCCTAGGGACAGCTGGTAGTGTGTGGGTTCTTGATTTTGTGCAGGAAAAATTTCACAACACGAGTCCAGGTGAATTTTAGAGGACTTTTATTAAAGCTGCAGACAGGGAAATAAGAACGGGCTGGGGAAATCAGCTTAGGCGAGTCTTCTTTGGCCCACTAAGAAGCCAGAGAAAAGGGGTCCCTTGGGGACAGGGTCAGGGGGGGTTGTCTGGGATTAGTGGCTGCTACCCATTGATGCCCTGGCTGCAAGCCTCATGGAGTCCCTTAGAATTTAGGAGATGCCTGCCTGTGGGGAAAGAAGAGGGCGGAAGGTTCAGGGGTGGAGGTGGGGGAGGCACAGGTGTGCTGCTGGGAGGGAGAGCATGCACTGGACCTTCTGACCTTCCTTTTGAGGGGTTTGAAAGGCTGGGTGTTTAGGGGGGGAAGTCTTAGGGAGGATGTCAATAGAATATTCATCAGCTTTATGCTGATGTACCAAAATGAGATTTATTCTCTTAACTTCATCTGTCCTTGGGTGTGGTTAGCAAATGGCACTAATTGGATTTCTGCTATCTGTCTCCCTGAGCAGGATGATTTAAGCTATTTACCCTCTGGTTGGGGAGGACAAATGCAAATCATATACTCTTAAGTGTCCCTGGTTTAGGGAAGATAGGATTTACTAGATGGTTACAAAATGCTATTTAACTAGTTTCCCTATTCTGTTTCTCTTGGCTTACTGGCCTGTCTCACTAAGAGTTGTGTGTGTGTAGAAATCTTTCCTTATACTGTGATCATGAAAATACTTTTCTGTATTATCTTTCAGAGTTTAATTTTATCTACATTATTTATATATAAAATCCCCTGGTACTGGTTTATTTGAAAAAATAGGGAACACTTCCGCATGTGTAAATGCTCCTTGAAACTATCCAATAGCATGGAAGGAATCGAAGAAACAGAAAAGGAATGATTGGAAAAAGGGCCCCTGAGAAGGTGGTGGAGGATGGGACCCAAAGCACAGATGGAGGGTTTGCTTTGGACAGCAGGAAAGACAACTATTTGTAATAGGATGGAAGGTGAAGAGGCTGCCACGGATGCAAATCGGTCTTTGGCAACAGGAAGTTTGTAGTTTCCCTGTGCAGTATGAGACAGATTATTGGAGTGAGGAGAGAGTGGGCAGAGTCAGGACTGGGACAAAGTTTAAGAAAGTCATTGAAGAAATTATAAATTAAGTTCTAGAAACAATAAATTTGTTGTGCAGTTTTGAGCATATAGTTGAAGCTTGTGGAGGTAATTTAATTTATAGTGTACCAATTCTTTCTCACAATGATGTTTCTATGTCAGTATATGGCTGCCATAGAACATACTAGAATAGTGGGTAGTTGGGTTCATCTAGGAATAGGGTTTTGCTATTTGGATGCTATGCAAAGATCCCACAAAGAAGGATAAGAGAATGTAGATTATTTACAGTTATTGAGATGATTGATAAAAAACTAAGATGGGAGGAGTATCTAAGATGAGTCTAAAGGGAGGAGGCAGGGGTGTCAGTGAACTGAATAGCCCACAACCCTGCCATGTGTTTTGACTGGTAATCGAACCGGCAACCTGTTGGTTCTTGGGTCATTGCTCAACTGCTGAGCTGCACCGGCTGGGATGTTCACTTCCTTTAATGAGGTCTTCCAAATACTTCTGCACTTATTTTTTATTGTGAGACAATTGTAGTACTAATGGCATTAAAGAAATATGTTGCTATCTTAACTGACATTGTGTCTTTTTAATTCCTGTTATTTAATTCTAATGTAGATACATCAAGAAATCTGGAATTTCATGAAATACACAGCACTGGGAATGAGCCGCCTTTGCTGATTATGATTGGCTACAGTGATGGAATACAGGTCTGGAGCATCCCTGTAAGTATGAAGATGGTTGATTTCCTAACATACAATACTTTTGCAGAATGCTATCTGATGGGAAATCTGGTGATACTTTCAGAAAGGTCTCATTCATTTGTTTCATAGTAGTTGCTTAAGATACAGTTAGGTGTGCAACACCATGCAAAGTACAAGGAATAAGGGCCAGAGATGCTGTAAATGATTTTGAAAAGTGGACTAGGAATTGGAAACACTTTACATGCGAGATCTCAATTTTGTCATGGTAACTCTACTAAGTAGGTATTATTTTTTCCTCCCATTTTATAAATGATTAAACAGACTTACAAAGGACTTGTTTTAAAAATTAGCAATCACTTAAGAAAAATCAGTGTTTTAGAATTAGTTTAAACATTCACTTCATCCCCACTCCCACTCTTAGTTCCCATTTCCCCTACCTTGAGGCAGCCAGATTTTCTAGTTTCTTATGTATCCTTATAGCTATATTTTATGCCAAAAATATATAAATATATTTTTCCCACTCTGCTCTTTCCTAACAGATAGGAGCATATTAGTTTGTACCTTGAGGTTTTTTCCTCATCAAGTCAGTGTTCTGAGAGATGCTTCATTGAGTTTTATAGCTGTATATAAGCTACCTGGGTTTCCTTAATTTACGTAACTTGTTCACTATTACTGAAAAACATAAATGTCCCTTTTTAAAATTAGAAACAATAATGTAATACATGACCTTGAACAAAACTTACTTTATATGTGTGTATCTGTGTAGAGTAAGTTCCGATTTTGATAAATGTTTAAATTGCCTAATAGGTCCCAGTTTGCCTTTTAAACCCTACATATTCCACTTTGGAATGACCCAAAATAAAATGTCTTAAAAGAGGAAAAGGCTTGATAGGATCACAGCTCAGTGAAGTGTAGTCGGGATTGCATACTGCAGCATATACTTATTTACATTCTGGTTTATGGCATGACCTAAATACTGCATCTCCTCAGTAGATGGGGGCAGACAGGGGACTTCTATTGTGTGGTTCTTTTGCAGTTGGAGGCTTGGGGCCAATAGAATTTTAATTTGTATCTTTAATAAATATATTCACCAAACTCATTAGAAGCCCCTTGTGTGTGTGTGTGTGTGTGTGTGTGTGTCTCAGCTAGAATTCCCCTGCCTTTTTTGATTGTTGTTGTTCTTTTGGGTAATATGGTTACTACTTAAAATATTTATAAATAAACATATATGCCTGCAATTTTAATAGGAATCAGGATATTCTTGAGTGCAGGATTTTGGTGTCAGTAGTGTAAGAATGAAGTAACCAGCATATTGGACTTCATTATTTTTTAACATTTTAAGTAAAATGTATTTGTTCTTCGATAGATCACTTACGATGAACTTTGGTCTTCCATCTGATCATATAATTATGTATCATATTGTTAGGTATTTAGGACTTGGGGTTTTGTATTTCTTGTTTTTGAAGATTGGCTTTATTTTGCAGAGGTAGAAGATTCCTGTTGGTATGGCATGGACTTAGTGTCCTCTTTCTTTAGCCTTTTGGGATGTGTAGCTGACATTTTTCAAGGTCCTGTAACGTCTGTAATTTAAGTACCATGCCAAAGGCATGGACAAAGGCCTTAAAATCTGGCATTGGTTTTTACAGGTTTTTTCTTTCTACCCAGGGAACTATTTCTCTGTCGTGATCAGAGGAAAGGGTTTTTGTAAAATGCAACTCTTATTAATAGAGACTACCTTTTCATCTATTACACAGTTTGTTGACAGACTTAAAGGCAAAGAGGAAGCTCAAGTTTTAACAAGAAGGTTGAACCTCGTGTGGTTAGGAGTGTTGACTGGATTGAGCACATTCCTTTGGTGGTACTCAGGCTACCAACTTGTTTTGGTTATAATTAGAGGTATCACTTTTAATACTCACAAAGGTAACTCGTGTTTAGCTCTGAGTAACTTAAGGTCTTCTGAGTAATTTAAATTACTTCTTTAAAGTAGTTTTTATGTCGTTTCAAATTTTTATTGACTAGTTTTTCTTTTTTTTTGACTAGTTGTTTACTATTGCAGTAGTATAGCCCTGTGAGAACTGTTTCAAAAATTAGGAAGCAGTCCGGGTAATAAGCTCCTTCTGATGCATCGATTGAGTTCTTACTGTGTTCAAAGAGCTTTATATATACACTATCTCATATACTGTACCCTGTGAGGTAGAAGTTACCCTGTTTTACAGGTGGCAAGGTCACATAACTTGTAAGAGGCAGAGTTGGAATTCAAACTCAATTCTGTCTGACTTCAAATTCAGAGTCCATGGTCTAAGAGCTATACTTCATTACTTCCAACATGTGATTGCAGAAGATATACCATGCACGCAGTTTGGCAGTTTTAGTTTTCATTGTAAAAGGTTATGATATAGCTTCAAATATTTATCTTTTATAGACTACTGTGACTGTTATGCATTACTCTTAACTAAACCCTTCTGAAACTTGTTTATCACTAGTCAGTTATTCAGTAATTATTTAAGTGTTCCCATATGCTAGACAGTGGGGAGCTAATGTTGGTCAAGCTAGAAATAATCCTGGCTCGTAGGGATCTTTGCAGACCATAAATCGTATTTGCCTTTTTAAAATTTTTATTGAATTTATTGGGGTGACATTGGTTAATAAAATTATATAGGTTTCAGGTGTACAATTCTATAATATATCATCTGTATATTGTATTGTATGTTTAGCAGCCCCAGTCAAGTCTTCCATCACCATTTACCCCCCCTTTTACCCTCTTCTACATCCCCCACCCTTTTTTCCCTCTGGTAATCACCATACTGTTGTCTGTGTCTAAGAAGGTTTTTTTTTTTCTTTCCTTAATCCCTTCACCTTTTTCATCCAGCCCCCTGTATTATTGATCTATATATCTGTTTTCATGCCAGTACCATTCTTTTTGGTGACTATAGCCTTGTAGTATATTTGCTATCAGGTAGGGTGATTCCTCCAGCTTTTGAGTAAGTATAGGTAAGCAGAACGTCATTCCTGGTCCAACCTAAGCACAGTTTTGCCTCAGTTTTGTGCACGGTTCTCTCTTCTGTAGATTTTATATAACTGTTCCACCCGTGAGTCTTAGATTAAGAAAATAAACATATCTTGGTTAAATATTTTTTAAAAATTGATTTTAGAGATGAAGGGAGAGGGAGAGAGAGAAACATCAATGAAGAGAGAGAGTCATTGATTGGGCGCCTCCTGCTTGCCCCACAGTGGGAATCAAGCCCACAATCCGGGCATGTGCCCTGACTGGGAATCGAACCTCGACCTCCTGGTTCAGAGGTTGGCGCTCAACCACTGAGCCATACTGGCCCGGGTGGTTAAACATTTTTTAAGATTGTCTATATAAGAAGTGCGCAAATATGAACGAAGCTTAGATGATGTTCAGGAATATAGTAGAGTTAGCTCAGAAGCAGAACTATGCAGAAGTATTTTTTCTATTTCCCAATCCCACACTTTGTAGATGAGATGGCTGCAGGAAACCACCAGTTCTCTTAGCTTTCCCAAGCTGTCAGGCCCCTACTTTCAACATATCTGATGTAATATAAGAAATGATTATTTCTTCTGCTGATGTTCTTGGATAAACAGGCCCTATTCGCATCTATGTCTAACAATGTAATTGCTTCTTTTGGTAATGTAGTAGAGACTCTTTTTAAAATCTTTAATTAAAAAAAATAAAGTTATACATGTACCTGGACTAAAAACCAAATACTTTTATGGGATTCATATGAAAAGAACAGCATTTCTGTATTCTTCCTTTCTTATCATCTTCATTTCTATTATTGTTGTTATCTTAGTATGTATTTCAGATATTTGAAAGTAACATACTTATATTTTTTATTTTTTTCCTCCTAGTTTTATACATAGATTGACTTGGTGCTATGAACTATGAGGACTTAATTGTTGTTCATTTATTCAACACAGGTCTGGGATAAAATGTGTATTTTGAGCAAAATAGACAGAGTCTTTACTCTAATACAGCTAGTATGAAAGAAGGATTTAAATAAAAATATATACAACTTAAATTGTAATGTGAAGAAATAATAAAATATTATAATAACTAAGCAGTACAGAAGTTAAGATTTAGCCAGGGTAGGAGGGAACAGCAAATAGTAAAGTCAGAGGCTCTGAGGTGAAGTGTTC